GCGCGTCCAAAGACACTAGAAACCAAATTGTAAGCCTCCACAAGGTTGAAAGGGCTACGGGGAAATTGCATAGCAGCTGGGTGAAAAAAGATCTGTTGGAGCAATCATTAGAAAATCGAAGAAGCTAAACAAGACTGTCAGTCTCCCTCCGACTGAGGCTCCATGCAAGATCTCACCTCATGGGGTCTCAATGATCCTAAGAAAGGTGAGAAATCCGCCCAGAACTACATGGGAGAGCTGGTCAACGACCTAAGAAGAGCTTGGACCACCGTTTCCAAGGTTATTGTTGGTAATACACTAATACTTCATGGTTTGAAATCATGCATGACATGAAAGGTTCCCCTGCTTAGACCAGCACATGTCAACGCCCGTCTTAGGTATGACCATTTGGATGGTTCAGAGGAGTCGTGGTCAGATGAGACCAAAATAGAAAGTTTTGGTCATAATTCCACTAACCGTGTTTCAAGGAAGAAGAATGATGAGTATCATCCCAAGAACACCTTCCCTACTGTGAAGCATGGGGGTGTTAGCATCATGCTTTAGAGGTATTTTTCTGCACATGGGACAGGGTGACTACTCTATATTAAGGAAAAGATGACCGGGGCCATGTATTGCAACCTTTGGGGAACAACCTACTTCCCTCACTTAGAACACTGAAGATGGGTGGAGGTTGGGTCTTCCAACATGGCAATGACCCGAAGCACACAGCCAGGATAACCAAGGAGTGGCTCTGTAAGAAGCATTATCAAGGTTCTGTTGTGGCCTAGGCAGTCTCCAGACCTTAACCCAATAGAGAATCTGCGGAGGGAGCTCAAACTCTGTGTTTCTCAGCAAACGCCAAGAAACCTGACTGATCTAGAGAAGATCTGTGTGGAGGAGTGGGCCAAAATCCCTCCTGCAGTGTGTTCAAACCTGGTGAAAATCTAAAGAAAAAGGTTTGACCTCTGTAATTGCAAACAAAGGCTACTGTACCAAATATTAACATTGATTTTCTGAGGTGTTCAAATACTTATTTGATTTCTGGATTTATTTAGAGAATGTCTCTCACTGTGGAATCTACAATGATAATTTCAGACCCCTCCATGATTTCTAAGAACTTGCAAAATAGAAGAGTGTTCAAATACTTATTTTCCTCACTGCATGTACAAATGATTTTTTTTTGTCACAAATGTGGAGCATTATATGAGAAGGTTAATAGACTTTTGAAAACTTTTTATCCAAAAACCTGTTAAATGTGCCTATCCCGTTTGGTTCAGTGGGAACTATCATTGTTTAGTATTTTCACAGATTCTGTATATTAATTTTTGCATGAAGACAATAGCATAAAGATAAGTCTGAGGCAAAAAATTCATTAAGACGTTATTTATTTTGGTCTTTATGTTTTACATGACACAATGCATGTCAAGGGTTATAACAATGTTGCTGTTAAGACAGTTTGGTTTAGAAAAAAAACAGTCAATTTGATCATTATTTTTCACAATATATTCAAGTCACATTTAGTCACATGTTGCACAGAAAAGAATTAATGTATTTTTATAAGACTGTTGTTCCCTTCAACCCTCAAAAAAAAACAAAAAAAACAAGATTTTACAAAAACAAAGAAGACAGACACTAAGTTTAAAGAGACCAGTTTAAGTCAGAATTAAAGGATCAGTGTTAGAGAAAAGTTTCGGACACAACAGTTATAACACCTCGATTTCACATGCTGTTTACATTACAAAACATCACTGGAACATTGTGTATTGCTTTCTCCCTCCTTAAATCAGCTATTTTTATAAATTAGTTTTCCTTCTTTTAAGCACCCATTTCTTGTAGTTTTCAAGTTAAGATGCTACTATTCCTCAAGAAGGTTGTACTGCCTGTCTGTTGGGTTGCGTAAAATGAACAGGGAGTTTTACTTTGAGAAATAGATTGCAAAATTAGTTGGTTTGCTTTTGGAAACTTCTGCATCAACGTATCACGTTGAAGCAATAAGGAATCCAGAGAAAGAGCAGTGGACATTCTCTGCAGCAAATACACCATTGGCATCCTCATCAGGGATCTGGACGTAGACTGTGTCATGCTCATCAAGTAAGAGGACAGCGCTACCAGACATTTGGTCCAGGAAACCCTTGTTATACTCATCATAACTAAACATAATTGGCTGACCATTCTTGTACAAAGCCACCAGGGCATGAGCTCCATTAACATGGATGCTGTAGGAGAAGTAGTAAACTCCAGGAACCTGGCAGGTGAAGATTCCTGACTCAGGGTCATAGTGATTCTCAGCATTGTAAACAATCTGGTCAAATCTAATGGGGGTGCCAGATGCAGGGTATGGGGTGGCAAGAACAGCAGTAAATGCTGACATGGGGGACTTGACCATAACCTCACTAAATCCCATGCCTTTCTCAAAAACAACCTCACCAGGAGGTCCGGGGGGACCAGGGGGGCCAGCTGGGCCAGGTTCTCCATCAGCTCCAGGCTCACCAGGTTGACCAGGGGGACCCTGAGGTCCAGAAATGCCCTTTGCAGAGAGACCAGCGGGGCCAGGAGGTCCAGGGAGACCTGGATGTCCCTTGAGGCCAGGGACACCAGCAGGCCCCTGTGGTCCAGCAGGCCCTCTGGCACCTGGAGCTCCATCAGACCCAGAAGCACCTGGTTCACCAGGGCGACCAGTGTGTCCTTTGGGTCCAGCAGGCCCTGGAATACCTGGAGCACCTGGGGTACCTGGGGCACCAACATTACCTTTCTCACCTGCAGGTCCAGTGGCACCTCTGGGTCCAGGAGGACCAGCTGCCCCTGGGTAACCCTGCTTACCTTGGAAACCTTGTGCTCCCTGATCTCCCTTGTGTCCCTTAGGTCCCTGAGCACCAGTTGCACCTGTGTCACCTTTAGGACCAACAGGGCCAGTTGCTCCTGGGAAACCTCTTTCACCCCTAGGTCCAACAGCACCTGTTGGGCCAGTTGCACCAGTGGCACCAGTATAACCTGTTGGGCCTTGCTCTCCCTTTGCTCCTGGGGAACCTGGGCTACCTGGGGCACCTCTCTCTCCCTTCTCACCATTTGCACCTGGCTTTCCATAACCTGGAACTCCAGGGGCACCAGGAGCTCCAGAAGGTCCCTGATGACCCTTAGGTCCAGCAGGACCAGGCAAACCTGGGGCACCATTCTCACCTGGTTTACCTGGAAGACCTACACCTGGAGCACCAGTGTGTCCCTTAGGTCCCTGTGGTCCCATGGGACCAGGGGCACCATCTCTACCTGGGCTACCTGACTTTCCAGGCTCACCATTAGCACCTGGTTTCCCTGGCCTTCCAATTCCAGGTGAACCTGGGGCTCCAGTTGGACCCATAGGTCCCTGAGGTCCTGTCTCGCCTTGTGGTCCAGGAGCACCATACCCCCTGTCACCCTTAGACCCAGGAAGTCCTGGGATACCTGGATGTCCTTTCAGGCCAGGCTCTCCTCTTGGTCCCATTGCTCCAGGAAGGCCGGAAGGTCCTGGTTTGCCAGTTGCAGACAGACCAGCAGGTCCTGGGCTTCCAGGAGAGCCTGGAACTCCTCTTGGTCCCTGGGGGCCTGTGGCTCCGGTTTCTCCCCTCTCACCAGGTGTTCCAGGGATGCCAGGTTTGCCAGGTCCACCTGGAGTTCCAGGTTTGCCAGCAATAGAGCGGCCAGGATGTCCAGGAGGTCCAGGGGGTCCTTGAGGTCCAGTATGACCAACTCCATCCTGACCTGGGGGGCCAGGTGGGCCTTGAGGTCCCTCAGGGCCAGGCTCACCTGGAGGACCAGGCTCACCTGCCATTGATACCACTGTGAAAAAGGAAACAACATCAGCACCAGAAACAAACAAACAAACAAACAAAAAATTATAGTGCATCTTGTTTTTTTGGTAGGGGGTTGATCCAACACTCTGCATTTTCAAGCTATAACAAAAAACAAAAACAAAAAAATACAACAACTTTGTTTTAAAATCTAGTATGTTTGTATCTGTATGCAGGTGATTCCAATTCAATATGCTGATGCCTTTAAGAACCTATTGCCTAAATAAAGACATTATGGACCTTTTATCTGACTTGCTCTAAATGAGAGGGGCCTTTTTATTTGCTTCTTATTGCAGTCATTGTGAAAAAAAACTCTTTCTCTTTCTGTTTTATTCTCTGACTAATTCTGGTCCAGTTTAGATAAAACATAAACAGATGTTTTTAGTCTTGTGTGAAGCAGGCACACCCTGGCAAAAAGAAAAAAAAACAACAACAAAAAAACCCTAGTTACTGGGTTCTAATTGTCAAGGTCAAAACCAAAAATAATCCACTAACAGTTCCTTTCCTGAAATACAAGCAGGTGTGTTTACTTGCAGAAATGTGACTTGGAATATTTATTTTCCATGATTTAAAATACTACAAGGAATATTAACATTTATGTTCTTAGATGGTACATGCTTTTTCACTATACTGGAAAACTTATGAGGTATTGTTTCTTTTTCTAAATTTGACAAGCTTAAATGAGGGATTTATTGCCAATATCTATTGCAATATAGTGATACATCTGCAGTTGTAAAATTTTGCACAAATTTAAACATCAGTGGTTTAAATGCTAATGTCACACTGTATTCATCAATGTCTAAAGGCATAAGATTTTGTGTTCTGGGTAAAATAGAAAAATGATAGTTATTCTGTTTTGCCACCTTTAGGAGCAGAAAACACCCTGACTAAACAGGTTTGTTATTTTGCATCAGATGTAAACAGACATGGTGACTGGAGAGAGGCAGGTCCAGAGGCAGCCAATCAGAAGACAGCACTGCTGCTCAGCAGAGTGCAGCTCAGTTTTTTAAAAATCCTATACAGCTGTGACCAGCATCTGCCTGTCTGCCAGTGGTGTCTCCATCTGCCGTAACAAAGTGGCCTATTTCCTCAAGTTTCAAGATGTCGGAAGGAGTGGCTCAGGTAAGATCTTTACATTGCAGATCAGCTGCCTCTCTTGTTTATTTTTTTTTAACTAAAGAGTCTTAAGTTAAGAATGTTTTGCTTACCGTGGCTCTTAACATTCATGGGGACTACTTTTTTCACCACATAGCCCTTTCCAGTGGCTGCTGCAGAGGCCACAATGAGAAGGAAGATGCTTGCCACTCGTAGGTCCATCTTGCAATCCCAAACCTGCAGGGAACAGAAGAAGATTGTCAATGTAAGCATTACACAGTTACAGCTTTTATTTAACTTTTGTTAGCATTTAAAGAGAATGTCCTTGCTTATTCTATTCAAGCTGCATATCAGCACTAAAACTCTGTAAAATACGCATGAGACGTCATGCATCATCTTCTTTGTATTGTCAATGAAGCATCCCAAAGTCAAACTAATTTCTCCAATTAACCAAGGCCTAACAAAATCTTAGAACTCCTACATGTTCCTCCAGAGAAAGAAACACTAAGAGAGGGAAACAAAAATCACACCTACCGGCATCCAAGAGAAGAAGAAACCCAACTTTCTTCTGCACCAGAGAGCTCCTGGTGCTGCTGTATATCCTTAAGGGCAGAGCACAACTGAGGATATGCTGCCCTCCAGTACAATGATGCTGGGTATTTATACCATATCTGCCCCTCACATCATTAAAAAAAACTCACCAAAAAGCACCTCCCTCCTTAGAGCTAGGCTGTAATTAGCAGAGAGATCTTCCCAAAGCGGGCATGTCACGTCAGGGTGCCTCCATGTCTTGAATATCCAGACACATGATTATCACATTTTCTTCTATCTTCTTTCAAAGATAGAAATGATAATTTTTGCAATTAAAACTAGATAAATTAAAATTATATTGAGTTTTGAGTATTTTAAGTTCTGATTGCTGTTGGACTTCTATAGATCTTTATTAGTATTATTTTTTATACTCAATTTGATGAAGACTTAGAGAGTAACCAAAATTATTCTAAAGATTATTCTTGGCCTTACTGTTATAAAAGATTGGTTATAAGGGTAGGGTTATATCACTTATTATTTTTTAAGTGTCTTTATTTAGTGATTTCATTTTTCAGTGCATTGTCTGTTGTCACAAATCTTTTTGGTTACTATATACATTTATATGTATAGTAATATGTAATATGATATAACACACCATAGGCATGATACAGAGATATTACATGTAAAAAGTGTGTTTCTTTCAAAATCAATCATTTTGTATATTCTCAACAACAACCAAAAAATTGTATTGCATGATAATATATACAGTAATTCATTGGAAAATGTTTCTATTGTTTGTTTTTATTTGTGATTTAGACAAGATTTTCTTTAAAAACAGGGCAAAGGACTTGGATTGAAAGAAAGCTTTGCTCTGAGGATTTGAAAAGAATTATTTAAAGTTCACACAATATAATTCTTGGGTGTTTTGGTAGGGAGAAAAGTCTTTTGGACCCTTTGGATGAGTCAAAAATATTTTATAACTTACATAAAACTATATTTAAAGGGAGTTATCAGGGTTTTTTTTTTTTATTTCCGTCCTGACCCCTATTTGGTCAGAGCGGTATAGGTGGGATAAAATGTTATAAAGTAGATTCTTATTTCACCATTTGCTAATTTTTCTATCTTAACAAATGTCTTTCTCTCAATACAGCTCACAAAGTAAAAAGATCACTTTGTAGAACATTAGTACATGCAGTACGTTGGGTTAACCACCAGGGGGCATGTTTTCACTTGTGTACAGCAGATTTTCACAGCCATTTACTTGTGGTCAAACATTATTTTTGGACCCCTAAGTGCACATGCATTACCCAGAGCTGCAGGCGCATTGGTTCCATTAAATCTGGTTCCTGTCGTGATGCTATGTTGTATTTCTTCAGTCAGCCCTTGAGTTATCCTCCCTCGCCCTCCACCTTGCTTACTTTGAGATCTTCCAACTGTAATTTCTCTGCTTCAGGCCCAGCCACATAGGAAATGCATACACCCAAATAATCACATGTTCTCTAACACACGAGTAGCCATAAACGATGTGTAGGGTAGTCCCATGCCCTGTTCCCAAATCTCCCTGACCATTGCCCATCCATTTATAGCACGTGTTCATCTTGTGTTCTTATAATGTGCGCACGTCATACTGGCAACATGTGTATATTTGACAAAATGATGATGAGCTGTGAGATTAAGGCCTTTGCTGGGTTTCTATATGAGGGTGCTACAGCACACGTGCCTGTGAAAGGCTTCTTTCATCACAAGTTTAATTAAAGATCCTCCCAATAGGGCTCGTTTGAATCCCCCTCTCTCTGTTTTTGTGTAAATTAGATCCAAATTATCTGCAATTTTCCAAAGTGCTACCTTCTCTAGCTCTAAGCACTTAATCATGTTTGGCAAGTATTGTTTAAGTTCACTCAACCTGTCAAATAAAAAATAATGTCATTTGCAATCTTCTTCTGCAAATGTTCATAGCCAGGAGAGACAGTGTGCAAGAAAAGTGCAGACTGAGTTCAAACCTGATGACAGAAATACAGCTGACACCAGATGTTCACAAACATCGTTTAAAAAGACATCCAACCTTTATCATGTTTATTACTGTCTGACATAGTTTAGATTAAACTTTTCCTAATCAAAGTCAAAAGTTTTCATATTACTTCCATTTTCCCACTGCTACAGAAATGATAGGAAAAAACAGGCCGAGAGCTTTTATATTGCACGCAAGCAAATGTAAATATATTACATGTTAAATGGAGTACTTTGGCGAGAGATTGGGTACACTCTTGATAAGTGGGTAGCTGGTCCAGGTTAGCAAAGTGACACAAAGGACTCACTACTGTGAGTAAGGAGAATTAGGTGAAAGTATGAGCGATGTTATAAGATATTAGTTAGAAAGTTTGACTGAGTAGAGGTTTGCTCCCTTAAGTATACAGTTAAATTTATAAAATTTCTCTCTTTTTTTTGAATGGTCATTACAAGGCTGATTTCAGGTCCCTTATAATGTCTGTGCAAGCATACTAGCCAACAAACCTGACACAGGTATACCAGCTCTGTCGGGAAGAATGACCCAAAAGGTCAGGAAAATACTACCAAATATTCAATTCTGTTCAGTTTATCTATATAACATCAATTCGCAACCTATGTCATCTCTAGCCACTTTACAGAGAATACTCAACTAGGTCATACAGTCTGATTGGTTCAAAGGAAACAAAGGAATTACTGAGGAAAAGCCTGTAAATGTCTCAATATGAATAAATGTACATGCAGAACAAGAGAACTCTCTGTGATAATTCTTGATTTAGCAAATAGAAATGAAAATTTCTATGAACCTTACTTGAGTTACTGTGTAGAAATAAATTTAGATTTATTTGTTGGAGTGGTTTGTTTCAATTTATGTTCAGTTTGGAAATTGGTGTTTGGTTTAGTTTGATGTTACACGGTCTCTTTTGTGTGTATTTAGTTGATTCAGCTATTGTTGTGTGTCATTTAATTTCATTTCATTTCATAATTTAACGGTATAAAGAGCTAGTTCAATGTGATCCCAGTTAGTTTGTCTTTCCCTACACTGTATGTAAATATCTGGTACATCTCAATGCTCCATTTGACACTCAAGCTGATGCAGCATTATTTTTTCATATTCTCTGGCGAATTTAGATGTTTTTAATGCTTGGTCCTGCTTTATTAACTGTGCAAACTGGCTGTTTATCCAGTAGCCTTTACTATTTTAGATAAATTGCCTGTTAATGCCACTCTGGGGCCAGCAGAGAGTTTTGATATTTTGCCATCATGCTGTATTACTTTAAAACCTCTCAGTGCTTGTGTATTTTAGGCAGAGGCCCCACCTTTCCAACTTTAGTCCAGTTCAGAGGAAATGGCAGGGAGAGAGAGGGTGGGGTTAAGATTTTATGTGTTTATTGGTTCAGATAAGTTGAGTCTATTTCTGTTTCTTAAACATCTCTGAACCACTGCAAACGATGCTTTCAGCCTTTTGTACCATGCTCTAAAGGCAATGCTTCATATCTTTATAATCAGGGGAAAAAAACTCTGAATCACGTTAATCTGCAAACAAATTCACTCTGGATTCAAACTAAATGAAGTTTGCGTGTATTTCTTTACATGCCTCTGTATTTAAAAACTAAAAGAACTATTTAATTGTGCTGACCTGAAATCCTTGAAAGAGCATTGAATATCTTTATCTGCTATCATCATGGCATCCTTATAGCAGCACCATGTGTGTTTCTGCCTTCTTTGCAATAGTTATTGGGAATTAGCCTCAAAAACTTGGCATGGTGACGTTACTTTGCCCATATGTTATCATTAGTGCCTCCCTGTAAAACACGAACACACTTGCTTTCGGTTTCACGCCGTTGAGTTGACACATGACATAAAAGGATTTTACTGAATTTAGTAAAGTAAGTTAACAGCCAATTAAGAACACACCCAAAGTCAATGAGTGCAACCAAATGCTTGGGAGCCTCCTGTTTTTGAACAGACTTTCACATGTTGGTTATGCAACAATCCTCATTAGTGAGATGCACACTGCCTTGCAAAAGTATGCACAGTCTTCGCACTATAAAGTTACAATCACAAACTACAAGCTATTTATTGGCTGCTATGTGATAGACTAACTAAAAGATGTACTTTAACTGTATAGAGGAAAGAAAATGATACATTGTTTTCAAGATTTCTAGAAATAAAATCTCAAAATTGTTGCATGCATGTAAAAGCATCATCCTTCACACTGATACCTCTGAATAACACCAATTGGTTGCACTTGCTGCCTAATTTAAAAAAAGATTAAACCTGTTTCTATGATCAGGGTTTTGTTAGGTTGTTAGTGAACAAACCCCAGAAGAACTTAATGAAACACAGCCTGCAGTTCTGGAATACATTTGTGGAACATTTTGTAGTAACACATCTTGGTTATAATCTTAATCATTTAACATTTCATTGACTATTGTTCAACCCATCAAGAACTAGAATGTCCACCTAAACCGAGAGAGACTGGACATGTCAGGCCTTTATGGAACCGTGACAAGAAGAAACTCATTGAACCAAAACTAGTAATTTTCCATTAGTGAGATGAGGGGGGAAAAAAACAAACATGAAGAATTTAATTATCTAATAGTTGTGACTAAATGAAACAATTTCTTTCTGTTTTCTTCCACCTATTTTAGATCAGATCTTGCGTCTAGGTACTGGTGTAGGAGGGAAACTCAGACATCCCATGGCTTTCCCCGGTCAGAATGGTTCTATACTCTTTCCAGTGAGTTTTAGGTCTTCCTTCTCCTTTTGGTGAAATGTGCACAAACCCTCTAAACTAATGTGAAGACGTAGTGGCTCTACTTAGAGATGGCATAACTCCTCACTCAATCTCATGTTGTTTGGGTATCTGTCACTGGAAGCTTGTTTGAGCTGATTGTATCTACGATGTTATTGTTTAAGTCATTGTGCTTATCTCACAACCAAAGAATAAGGTGGAGAGACACAGTAATGGACTAATAAATTGAGAGATTCTCCTTTTGGTTCAGGACCATCTTTATCACAACAGAATAAAGCAGAGCTCATCCATCTGTCCTTCTACCATTTCACCCCACTATTACTCCTGAAGAAGACACCTGTGTACTTAAAGTCTTTAGTTTGAGTAAGAGGTTCACCAAATCCTAGATGGTTTGGGTAAATATTGTTCTGCTCAAAAGCCACAGCCATAGACTTTGAGGAGCTGACTTTCATCCTGGCCTCATCACAACATGCAAAATGTCTGTCATGGCCTGATAAAGCAAAAAGAACCCCCCAAAAAATTAGATCCCGAGGTTTCTAAACCAGATACCTTCCTTCCCTATGCCTTTAGATCATGTCCACGATCACAACAAACCTGAACAGAGCAGTAAGCGGCAGCTCTGTTTTATAGGCCACTCTGTCATCAGAGGGCGTGCTTTTTACGTAAATACATCATGCTGCATCCCCGTGTAGAAATGTTACATTTCTCTTCAGAGTTGTTTTTATTAAGCTGCTAGAAGTGATTCATTTTTACTCCTGATGTGCTTTATTATGCACAAAATGCCTCAAAAGTATTTCATTTTTTTCTCCAAACTGTTTTGATTTTGTCTTTGTTTTTTTACGCATGTGCGTTGCTCGAAAAGGCTTCAATAGAGTCATTCTAACAATAACAATTCCTGATTATTTGTCGTGGAGATCCTCTTGAAAATAGCCTTAGCAATTGACTATGTAAAAGAGGAGATGGTCTGGATTTGAAAGACCAATGAAAGTTCTTAGAGCCAAAACTTGGGGGTTGGTTGAGCTCAAGGGAGGTGCAGGTACAGGGAGCCCATCCACATGGGCCCACCAGCTACAGCAAGCAATGTCAAAAAAAGCAACCATAAGAACTGGATGGTAGTGAGAAGGGAGGTATTGGCTTGCTAGTTCCTGGTGGCATTATCTGAACTCTGGTCAAGAGCATGATATTGAACATGACCCTGAATATGCCACCATAACAATGAAGAATAGCATTATTAGCATCAATCTGTGTGTGTGTGTGTGTGTGTGTGTTTTTTATTAATGAGAATAGGAAAGATGGTCATCATAAGAAAAGGTGAATCCAGATAAGAAACTCATTTTTGGCTGTGGAAAACTTTAGACTTAGGTGGTTGTATTTCCTTTAGGAAAATGATCGTTAAAATACCAAGAGTCTAGCTGTAGACCTGCACTGTCAGGACCCTTCATTGCATACCTGCAAAATGGGGTCGCCTGCACTGTCAGGACCAAAAGTTTATCCTGGAAGTTGTATTCAAAGCCTTCGGGAATAGCGAGCAGCACCTGTTTGCTGCTGGATTAGAGTTTATGACTGTGTTAAACTGAGCATAAGAGCAGTTTAAATTATATTGTAAGCCATAATCTTCATAGGACAGCCAACCTCCATTGTCGTATAGAAAATGTCTTACAGACCAAATGCCCTTTTCCATCCAGCTATCCAAATACAGAGACACTTTTCTATGTAGCACATATCTATTATTCCAGATAGGTGTTTGGTGGGGGGTAAAAGTTTGCATGTACATAAGTTTCCAGGATAACACTTGTTTGTGAAAGGAAGCTAACTTCACGGTAAGGTTATCAAGGCTAGCTCACTTTAGAAAGGCTTCGAATCAACTTCGGCTTTCCTTTAAAGTCTTCAAATAAAACTTCCTGTTCTCACAGCGCATGAGACCTCACAGTGCAGCTCTGGGTCCTGACAGTGCAGGTCTGCAGCCAGACCCCTCTCAAAAATACAACCAGATATATATAAATATATATATAGGAAGCATAATTAGAGCAAAGCATGTTAGAATGACCTAGTTTATGTCCAGAATTAAATCCTGCTGTGAATGTATGACATAACTTAAAAACTGATGTTTAAAGACTCGATTGGGTCTTCATTTGCAAAAGCTGTAGCAAAAAACCCTAAAACAGTTAACTACAATTTGATGTAAATATGAATAAAAATAGGACAATTTAAAATTATGTTTATTTTTCTTCAACTAAACATTTATGCTGTAGTTGGTGTTTGTCTTTTATTTCAAGAGGTATACATTTACTCATCTTCCTATATAAATAAGTAAAAACATAAAAGGAAAAAAAGAAAAAGCCATGGGAAGCTATGAGAAAGCAAATGTTTTTCTTTGTCTCTATCCTTTCTGTTTTTGGGCCTTGCAGTGATCTCTGTATTTCTTGAAATTCCCTAGAGAACATTTCTGGATGGTGTTCCTGGCATTGTAAGCCATGTTTGTGCTTACACTTGCAATGATAACAGTGTTTGCAAGGAAGGTTTTTGCATTTTGTCTGTTTTTGTTCTCTCCGCTGCCCAGGAATTGATGTTTCTGGTTTCTTCCCCATGCCGACCGAGGCTCAACCCACACCCAAAGAGAAGAACATAATTGGCGGTTGATGTAAAGAAGCCCAACTGAGCACGTGAGTTTTAGCAACATCTAAAGATACACCATCACTGCTCGGATACAAATTTAATGTTTCAATAAACTCCTGGAACCACTAAGAGCTACTTTAAACTTTATGAATGGTAGACTTGAAGGGGGCCCTTTTGAGTGATCGGTGGGGAAATTACAGGGTCTTGAAAACAAACATAGACCTAAATGGAGCCGGAAGTGTAAAAGTAACTAGAAATGAGGGATGGTGTCTGGGAGGTCACCAGTTTCAAACCCTGAAAGACAGGAAAATAAGAGGATGGTTTGCTGATCTTTAGCAGCTCAAAGGTGCAGATACTATTAGGACATACGTAGAATAAAGAAACATTTTAGTATTAAATATGCTACGTTTTTTAAACAATTAGCTGGAAAATTCTGGAAATGCACACTCACTCAAGCATTCAGATCCCATCACATCCTAATGTGGAAGCTGCTGCTCTACACGTTTAAGTCTGCACCTACCAATTGCCAGCCGACCAAGACAAGTGGCACTTGTGTTTCTTTAGTCTGATTGTTTCTGTTTCCATACACTGCTGGTGCATTTATTTCTGGAAGGATCTGACTCAGCTTTTGGCTTGAGGAAGCATTTTTAAAACCGCTTTGCTAAAAAATCAGACTTCAGGATCTCCATTGGCTAGAAACTAATTAAATTAGTCACCAGACCTTTATTACAGTGCTCTTAAAACCCACAAAGGCATTAAAAAGGTGAAAAAGTCATATGAACAAATAGACCGCCACCCTGCTTGCCAAGTTATTGTTTAAATTAAGAATAAATGAAATGCCAAGCTCTATGCAATCTCTCGTTTGTGACTGGTCATTGCAGGAAAATGTGAACATTGTGCATAAAACAAAAACCTGTATTTTTTAGTATTAATATATGTTACAAACAAAAAAACAACAACAACAAAAAAGGAAGAATAACTGCAACATACCAGGATTGATTTCCAGTGCTTAATAAAAGTATTCACACTTTTTAATTAACTTTGGTTATTTTCCTGCTACAACAACTGCAAACTTCAAAGTTTTTTATGTGATAGTGCAGCAGAAGGTAGCACAGATATCATTACTATTTTTCTATGTGTCTTTTAACAAACAAAATCATAAAAGTGTGCATTTTCTTCTTGCTTCACCAAGTACTTTGCAAAACCTTTTTTTTTTATTTTCTTCTAGAGTCCAAAACAACCGTAAAAGAATTAGCAAATTTTTCTGAAAGGTCCTTTGTTGAATTTAGGCCTGAACTATATCCTGGTAAATTTTACACATCTGCTTTGATTTAATCAGTTCTCTGCTAGCTCCCGTTTTCATGAACATTGAGGCTGGTTCCTGCCCCGCCTGACAGTTTAGGTAGACAACTGTCTTTGTGGGTTTGTAGTGGTGACATACTCTTTCTATTTTCGGATGAAAGATTGAAGAGTGGTCTTTGAGATGTTCAAAGTAAATAGTTTGACAAGGTTAATAAATATGCTTTGACTTTTCTTCGGACCATTTGAAGGTGAAATAATGTTTAGCAAATAATGACAGTCTCTCTGCTTAAAATGCAAAGTGACAACCTAGAAACACTGTTTCCACAGCATGGTCCCACCTCGGTCTTTGGTGAGCACAGCCAGGACTGAACCATAATGACCTGTGGGGAGGCAAGACAAGTCTTGCTTCTGTGGACTATATTTGGTGCAAGCCATGTCTGTCTCAAAATAAATGCAGTAGGCAAACTATTAGTTAAGGCCCACACAATTCACATATCTCAGAGTGTGACGTTTGTATATAAAGACTAGAGGAAGTCAGATAGAGTTTAATGTACGGTGTGTCCAAGACAATGTTGGGGCTGAGGCTTAGTCCGGTGTGGTTTTGAAGTTTGTTTTAATAGTTGATGGACGCTGTGTGTGGGTTGATGCTCAGACTGCAGGTTAGAACAGAAAGGACCAATGTTGAGAATGAAAATCCACCTACATTATATAATATACACAAACAATGTCATCCTGTCTTCTCTGCATTTCTGCAAATGAAGAAGTAATGTCAGGAAGATTATTTTTGTTAAAGTTCAGTGCAATTCACTTCCTTTTTTTCCTGCTGATCCAAGCTTTTATAAAACCATGGAATTTTTGCCATTTATGTTTGAATTAAAATTGAGGTACATTGGCATCAAAATCTCACTCTATATTCGTATAAATCTCAGCACAGACTAATTTCAGTCAGTGGTGTGTATAGTTTCAATCCAAAGTTTATATGCGATCTGTGCTATTTTATTCTCCTCATGGAGGGATGCATGAAAAACTCCTACAGTTGACATGTATAAAATGATTAATGGAATTGGAATTTCGAATTGATTCAATGTAAAAAAAAAATCTCTCTGAGATTGCATAGAAAACCATACATCCTTAATTTGAATTGATTCTATGTTAGCACATTTAATTATATGAAAATGCATATTTTTTGCCTATAGCTCTGACAATCTTGGAGCTACATAATAGCCTGGAGCTAAATAATAGCCTTACAGATTTGCTTTCAGATGTAGACCATTATGGTTGTTGCCATAAGGTTTCACTTGGTAGTTATGTATGAAACTTTCTTAGAAATTATTTAGAAAAATAAATGTATGCATGGACATGGAGATGGACAAAGGGGTAGGAAAGGGAGCAGCAACAAGAATTAATATGAGAGAGAAAGAGATAGACAAAGAGAGAAAAGGGCCAGGGGGAGCTGAAAGAGAGAGAACGATAAAAAGAAAGAAAAAACACAACAGAAAATATACTGTATCTCCTGGAAGTCTGGCATGAGAGGGAAAGAAAAGAGAGCAAACAACAACACCAATACAACAACAACATCAAAAACACAACACACTAGGTATAAGAAAAGTATCACATAGACGCCCAGTCGACACATGTACATAATAAGCAAAACCTATGATGATTGCACAGTATTCTTCAGAGTTTTATATATCTGTAGCTGCAGCTTAGTTTGGTGATATCAGTGTGTATCCATGGTCACCTCAAACCAAATGTGTCTGTGGTATATATGCATGAGTATAGGGGATTTAAAAGGCTTCTTCAAAAGGAGAATATGCTCAATAGCAGGTGTGAGGGGCCCCAGGCTTGCCCTAAAGAGCTAAGGATTGACATTAAGGGAACCAGAGCCCCAAATATCTATAGGAACTTCAGACTACATGGTTTGCTGACATAGGGAGGGCCGTAACCTCTTGAGAAGGGCAGACAAGAGCCCCCAGGGCCTGACCCCAAAGGGGCTGAAACCCATTAGCCTATGATGCTGAAGCTCCACAGAGCTGCAGTGGCAAGCCCAAAGGATATGTGAGGAGTGAGGGGGAGCCAAGCACTCAACCTGACAAGTAGACCGATACACATTCACAGGCCTCCAGTCACACAATCCCACCCTTACACCCTACCAGATGTAAACAGGGATTCACTAAAATGATACACAAGATCAAGCACTGAAGAGTGTGACGACTCTCTTCATACCTAGTCTATCCTCAGCCCAGCCCAGGAGGCCACAGCCCAATCAGGAAAAGACCTGAACAAGCCAAACACCTAAGCCAAGGAGGATGACATGCCGTGCCCAAGACCACTACCTTAGCATCCAGCAGACTGAACGCATTCCTACTAGAGGTGGTTGTAGCCTGACTCAGACCTGCTTAGGTAACACCCAATCACAGGCCACCACATCCCCTCCCCAACCTGGAGGGAAAATATCAACCCACCACTGCATTCAGACTTCATAAACTGGGAGTATGACAGCGACACTGTGCGATAGAATTACTCAACTAAAAGGAAAAAGTACGGTGAATTTAAACTGATCCTAAAAGGAATTTTTTGGCAAAAAGTAACTCAAGTAAATGTAACTAGACTTTACCAATATCTATTTTGAACACACTGCAACTAAATGGTATCTGACCTTTATTTTTCTGATTCATGTGACCTTTTATAAGCCTAAGATCCAGCATTTGTCAACTCTCTTTTGTCTGACTTGCTTAATATTAGTTTTAGCTCAATTTTCAGTGAGCTAACTTCCCTCAAATTCAAAAAAATGAATTCAATATTATATTAAAGTAGAAAAAAAAGTTTTTCCTATCTTCCTGGATCTGCTTCGTTAGTCCCTTTTAGGCGGGCTCAGACTCTATATGTAGGTAGAAAAAACTGAAACTGCTTTGTCAAAAACGAATGGCAATAAAGTTATTTTTACAGCTCATGTTTTGGATTCTGTTTCTGGTAAAACACAGAGGCAAACTAATCCAAGAATAAATAACAGGACAAACGGACAGGATTTTCGTTCCACATAGTTTACATGTTGGTAGCTGGCTTCCCATAATGTTTGTTAAAGACTTTAACACAGCCAGACTTTATGTTTTAAGGATATTTTAAGTCAAACTGCGTACGTTAGATACAGACTCCAAACACATCTATGTTTAGCAACTAAGTCCAGAGACTCACATGGCCCATGATTATAGAAACAAAAGGCTAACTCTCCCTGCATCGGTTCAGCGTATTACTTGTATATCTTATATCACTTGATCATCCAGCATGAGGCAAACTGTTGAAACTAAAATTTGCTTAACAAGTCCAGGACTGTACCTGAAATTTAGGCAACAAAAAAAAAATTCAGAATACATAACTTATATTCTAAATATTTTTCACTTTAAAAGTATTCATTCAAAAGATGTTTTGGCAAAAGGACCTTTGCATTTGCAAACGAATAACAGCATAAAACCCCAGGTAATTATATTACCGTAGTTGCTTTAGAAGATCAAGGTTTAACCTATCTTTAAAGGAGCTGTTATCTGTCATTACACGAAACTAATTGTTAAAAGTAGTTTTTAGCTCCCTGGAGTTCATATTGGAACCTTTGCAAATATTTTACCTGTAATATTTTTTTTGTTTCCATAATCCAGACATTTATTCTTCAAAGGAAAATATTGGACGCCACTATTTTCTACAACACAAAAACATGACATAGAAGCTGAGACCAATCATACTATATTGTG